GATAGAAGAGCCGAGAGTTTTGATGTTGTTCTCCAAAAGACATCCGTTTTACAAAATCAGGGGTTTGATCAAATGTTTCTGCGAGTTAGCACTAGAAGGACGAAGAAAAAGTTGACAAAGTCATGGAAGTTCAAGTTTAAGAACAGGCCATTGACTCATCTCATGCCACCAGTTGGACGTTATACTCTCATAGGAGGAAGAAGCATAAAGAACAAAGCTGAGAAACGGGGTTCTTGGAACATAAATGAAGAGGTGTTAAGCTGTTACAATATGCAAAGCAACGAGAAGAACAAACTAGGTCCAGGCAAGAAGAGGAAAGTTTGCAAGTCTTGGCATTTCAAATACAAAAACAAGTTTGCAAAATTCCAGAAGCAGAGAAAAGGTTACAAGACTTGGATATTCAAGTACAAGCTAAGACCAAAACTGAGGGCCTGGACAGAAAAGCAGCAGCTCAATGTTTGGGAACAAATTGACAACTCAAAAGCTTTAACAAATTGGCTATTTCAAGCCTTATCTCTAGAGTTTACATATAGTCACTCTAGTTGGGATTTTCATTCATCTTATTTCGGGGTTCAGGAAATCAACGCAGGAAAACAAACGAAAGTTCCAAGTATGATCCACGAGCTAAACTCGTCCCTCTACTACTTCTGCAAAGCTAAAAATGCAAGGAGATGCCTTAATTAACATACCGGAAAATCCAGAAGCTGAAAATCCCACCAACTCTCCAAAGATTTTGGATCTTGATAGACATTTACTCATCTCTTGGCATGTACCGGGAGATCACAGTCGTGTGGGGAGATATCAAAAGGAACATTGCGAGCAGAAACTCACACTCGTGTGGTGAACTTTCTCAGAGGTGGGTATTTTGAAAGAGTAATGGAAGTGATCAGTTACATAAAGGAGAAGGATCTAACTATGTGCAAGAATGAGTATCTTAAGCTTCATAAGAATCTATACAGATGCTGTAACAGAGGCTTGAGCATGTCAAATCCTTCAGAAAACTAGTTGATATAGTAGGATCTATTGTACCTATTTTGCAAAAGGGTTAACAGCGATATTAAGTTAAGTTTTGAGAATGTATGTATATACATGAATTGGTGACCATAATGCGGTAGTATATGTTGATAAGTTGCCATTGTTTGAGAAAACAAGATTATGTTTCTTATAATTATTAAAGGGAATGTTTAAAATAACATTATTGGTGACCATATATTGAATGTTTTAAGAATGTATATACATGAATTGGTGACCAAATATTGAATGCTTAAAATAACAAAAATAACTAACGTTTCATAAATATGGGAATTAGTCTA